AGTATTTATATTTAAAACTTTTAAATGGTATTGCCTGCTGCCAAGTTTTTTAAAACTACAACTTCTAAATACTCAATCTCTTACTTTGACTTGTTTTCTGATAGATTATTGGAGAAGGTAATGTTTCCTTTTCAGAAAGGATATATAAGAGGGATCATAATTTCTTGGCCCTATGTTGTCTCTGACACTATATTTTTATTATTTTACTCATGAATCATAACCATGTTTAGAAATAGAAAATTAACGCCTAAGCTTATTTTCTAAAACCAGAACAAGGAATGTGATGAATCGAAATATGATATATAGTGATACAAGGAAATCATGGCATATCCTGGTTTTTACTACATTATTAATTACTTTTTTTACTTATTTTTTGAAAAAAAATACTTGTGAAATTATTACTTTCACAATTGTATTAATTTATTAAAATTAAAAGTGTCAACTAGGGATATATGTAAGTATTTTTTTTCTTTTAAATGCTATTTTTTTCTTTGTATCCTATGATCCCTTCTGGAAACGCAAGTCCTTTTCCAGCTCAGAGAATTATTATCATTATTAAATTGATTTTTTTCTCAGCTTGTTGTGCCCTTTTAAAAATCCCTATTATGCATAGTACTGTACTGCTCTATCTGCACATTATCTTTGTCATTTATTTCATCCTTTTTCTGGCAATGTCATTAACACTTTATCACCTCCTCTTGCCTCATGTATTCCTCATGTATTTATTGTGTATTTATTCTCTGTATCAGATTTTGCAAGAGACACTAAAAATAAAGGGAAGTGCTTCTCACACATAGAACTCACCTTCACAGAACTGATGATCTAACATAACAAGGAAACAGATATGGAGCAAGTCATTATAAGTGCCTTGCTAGAGGACATTTCTTAGACTGCATCAAGTTGCTTCCTGACACAGTGAATGCCTGTCTCTACTCCTGCTGACCCATGATTTCTGGAGCTGGGGCTGGGACTCCTGTGCTAGATTCTGGCTCCCATTAAAGTTCTACCAAAAAGGCAGCAGCAGGGGCTGAACATGAGGAAGAGGGAGAAAGAACATGTGCTGTTCATTTTCTCTCCCTGTCAGCATCACCTCAGCAGATTTTCTTCATCCTGGAAGTGCAAGTTGCTTCTTGATTCCAGCTGGTTTTTACAAAACTCTCCGAGAGCCAGCTGCCTTGTGCTCCTTAGAGATGCTAGCAGCAGGCTTTGGGTGCAGCAAGCTTTGAGTGTGAGTCTCCACTCCTCAGTTCCTCTACCCAAGTCCCTGAGCACCGGCTGCCCAGTGTCCTCTTCATGGGTGTTTGGATGCCCTTTAAGCTTCAGAGTTTAATATCTCTGGCTTTTTCTGTGTGTCCTCCCATCCCCATCCCCCAAACAGGATCTGCTTCCTGCTATTCTCCCTTTCCTTGTTGATCCTCCAGTTTCTTGTGTCCATAATTTCTGTTAAAACAACTAGTGTCCTTTCTGTTTTACTGGATGAATCCTGACTGACAGACCTGGCTTCTATTTCATCGGTTCTGTTTTTTGCAATGCTATACACATATTGTATGCTACTTATGTTATATATAAACAGAAATGCATAAATCCCTAACCTAAATATGTGTGTTTGTGTCTGTTTCTAATTCAGCAGTTATGTTTCTTTTCTTAATATTGGCAGTTTATTGATCTCAGATATTATCCCTCTCATAATTCCCCACTCTTGCTTCTCAGTTGCTGTTGCCTTTTAACTTTAAAGAAATTGAATTAGAAATTGTCCAAAAAAAAAAGAGTCTGTCTTCTTGTCTTCTTAGAGGAAGATATTTAATTGCAATTTTATGATGTCTTCTTTTTTTTTACTTGTTTTTTTATTATTATTAGTTGTTCAAAACATTACAAAGCTCTTGACATATTGTATTTCATACATTTGATTCAAGCAGATAATGAACTCCCATTTTTACCCCATATACATATTGCAGATTCACATCGGTTACACATCTACTTTTTACATACTGCCATACTAGTGTCTGTTGTATTCTGCTGCCTTTCCTATCCTCTACTATCCCCCCTCCCCTCCCCTCCCATCTTCTCTCTCTACCCCATCTACTGTAATTCATTTCTCTCTCTTGTTTTCTTTTTTTGTAGTGTAGTTCTTTTTCACAGAGCTAGGAATGTTTTCTCTACTATTAGAAAATACACAGGCTCCTGTCTGAGTCTTTCAAGCCTTGGAAGGAACATAGGTGATAACAGTGTTTAGAATGCCTATTCAGAAACTAATTCGGTTGAGGGACCTGTGGTGACAATCATGGGTAGAGCTGGAAGCATTTGCCCGTGTCCAAAAGTTGATTTCCCCAAGTTTTAGTTTTGGCATAATTAGTACCTAGCAAGAGTTTGTCTCTAGGTTGACCCTTCTTAGCATTCAGGTGTTGGTCCTCCTCAGGAGTCAGTGACATCACACAAGGATCAGGTGTAGGCAGCGATTGTCGAGTTTCTCACCGAATGTGATGCCCAGTGCCTGATCAGCTGCCCATCATCACTTATGACGTTAATCCTCTATCATATCTTCAGGCATATATGACATCCCTCCTGTTCTATGACCCTCCTTCATTGCCTTTAATCTGTAATCTTTTTGTCTGCACATTGGAAAGTAAGTATGTGCTTCCCTGTTGGAAATCTTTTCTTCGCATGAGTTTGAATGTCCCTTCGATAGCATAGCAGGTTGGCTTGGTCCTTTTTTCAGAGTGATCTTTCCTGCATGAGGTCTACCAGAAATTCCTCCAAGTGCCTCGTTTATGGGTATTCCCTTTCCTGGGTCCCAGTGTCAATTCAGGGTTTTCCCCTTTTTATATGCATATTTAATTATCTATCTCCTGGGAATGGGAAAGATAAATGGCTTGTTTTCTTTTCACCCACCAGTGTAGTTAAATGTGGAGAAAACCAGAAACTAAGCATTTATTACACTTTCTGTTTCTATTGTGCAAAAAAATGAAATAGAATTAGACAATAAATAGAAATTTCCACTATTAGTTTTATATACTTCACCTGGTTGATACAGATTATTTTTCAAAACTTCAACCATCATTTTAGCAGCACCAAATGAAAACACAGTGACCAAAACAAGAAGGAAAAAAAAAGTGAAAACAAAACATCGCTCTCACACATACACACACACACACACACACACATACACACAAAAAAAATCTCTCTCTCTCTCTCTCTCTCTCTCTCTCACACACACACACACACACACACACGACAAATCCTTCCATTAGCAAACAGATGTCTCATATGTTACAATCACTCTCTCTCTGATAGATTTGATATAGTTCTGATAAGTGACCAGGTCCTATGGAGAAGAGAGTTTTGACTGAGATATCCCTCATTGCACAGCAGAGGAGGATCAGTGGTCAAATCCTACCTGCAGGACGTTCAGGATTTCTAATTCTTAGGTTTACTCACAGTACTGTCAGTCAGGTTTTGTTGTGAGTTACAGGAATTCTTCACACTTGGAGTCAGAAGTCCTAGATCATAACGGGCTGAGGAAATTAGCCACAGAATTTGGATACAAGCTGGCTCTGCAACTCAGGGGACAGCAGAGAAATGTGAGGATGGATCTTGTCACCTGGTTGCAATTTGAGTCCTTTTGAGATCTTTTGCCATCAATATGTTCATGAAGTCCTCTGAATATATGGCCCTGCTACTGACTAAAGACATCAGTTGCCTCTGGGAGGAAAACCATTAAGAGTAAAACTCTGAGGAAAGTGAATTCGTGTATTGTGGTGCTTGTTATTCATTGAGTGTTTTTGACTTGCTAAAAGGGAGTTTAATGTATTTATACAATTTATAAAGATGTAACTGATTCTGGAGCTCTGCTCCTTAAAGGGAACATATTTCATGTTATTGTAAGCACTGAAGAAAATTAAATCAATAAATCTACAGCCCGTAATTTGAGATACTCAATTTGAAGAAAAATATATTGTCAGGGAGGGAGGGGGAAATCTTCTAATTCGAGGAAGACTTGTAAACAACCTGTCTTGGCTCCACTGTCCCATGCATTCAGGTGACAGCAGGAATTACCTTTATACCAGAAGATGATGAGTATGTTAGCGTGACACCTTCCAGGAAGCAAAGGCCAACTCCCTACCTTTTTTAATGAAGCATATGCTCAAGGAGAGAGCAATGCAAATGAAGCTGTCTCTGGCTGAGCTGTCCCTGTGTTGTTCTTTTCCTTTAGGAGGCTTTGCTGGTTGACAGTCAGACTGGGTGTCAGGAAGCTTAGTGGATATTTTTTCTCTCCCTGGCATTGATGCTCTTTGTGACCACTGGCAAGCCAATTAACCTCTTAAAGCGTCACCCTTCCGTGTGTAAAAGGTTAATAGTGCAGCTTGTTTGCAAAGTGCCTCAAGCCCTCCGTGAAGGGCACTACCCAAATACCCAGCATTGCTATTTGACTGAAGGGTATTGTATTTTTTAATTATATGTTTGGTTGGATAGGTTATAGATTTTGTTGTGGCTGAATGTTGCCCCTTCTCCCTGGTTATAAATAAAACAACTAATAGGTGATCTCACTCTATTACCATCTTCCTGAGCCCCCTCGAGGTTTATGGGAATGACAGAGGTTATAGATTAATAACGCATTCTTTAGTTAATAAAAAACATCATGTGCATCTCAACTGTATAATGGCTGTGGATGGCAATTTATTAGGCCCAGTGTCTCATCAGATGCTAAGCAGATAATGCTGGCAAAGATTCATGAAATGCTGAGGTTCTCTTTTCCCTGTCCCCCAGTAATTTTATTTATCCTTCACACGGATAGAGAACATTAGGAGCAGTTTTATTAAGGTGTTTTTCTACCGTGTTTCTCAGTATTTGGAAACTATGCTCTTTTTCTGGAACTCCTGGACAAGTGACTTGTTTCTGGGCATCAAAGATGTGACATTGAGCTCAATGATTCATGTAGTTAGAACAAATGTGAATAATATCAGCCTAGAGAAAATCATCATATTTCTCATACTTCTTCACAGATTTACGGAAAAACTTTGAACAAGATCCACAAGGAAGGGAGGTTCCCATTGAAGGCATGATAGTGCTCCACTGCCGTCCGCCGGAGGGCGTCCCTGCTGCCGAGGTAAGAGGGGCTCTCAGAACCAGGCTGTTCCTAGGAGGGACGCCAGAGACTTGGGTGACTATAATAAGTGCAGTAGTAGAGTCTGTATCTGGTATTCTTCCTGCCTGAACCCAGTTGCAGGAGATGTTTAAGAAACTGAAGAGAAGAGGATAGAGAAGCAAGTGGGAGTCTCCCATCCAATCTCTTATTGGTAGGCAGTGTGGGTAGCATCTGATGTGCAATCTTGCCTCCAGTGGCTTCAGTTGATGCAGGTATTATCCTGTGTCCCCAGCTAGGGCCCCCTCATCTGCACATCAGCTTATGGATTATATTTGATCTTCGAAAGGCAAAACCATGTGAAAAGTGCAAAGGGGAGGTGGTAATCCCCTAGTCTTGTGCCTCACTGGGGGGCTGCTCCGTCATCACTTGTTCATAGAACAAGAACCCACATGAGCACTTTTTACATTGTAACACTGTACTGGCGTTAGGGACATGAAATGTGATGAAGCCACAGGTCTCTGATCTGGTGTCCTTCCTTCACAGTGAGGCATCTGGAATCCAGGGTCACTGTTTTTTTTTTTACATCTGGCATGTTTTATAGAACTTCTTCTATATTGTTAAAATACAATGGTGACAAAAAATACACTATGAGAGCAGTGAAGGCTTTCTAAATCTTTTAGCCACATCTGAAAGATGTTCTCATAGACTAGTAATCTCATTATTGTTGGGGGAGGGGACAAAGAAGCAAAGCATGCTTTGTAGAAATTACATAATTTATAAACATTGGCTTGAGTTTAGCAGTAAATGGTCCAGTTGCAATTCTTCTGTGTGAAACTAAAAAGCTGTGTCTGGAGCTATAGTTTAGTCACTGAGAAGTAGATATATTTAAAAATCAAAACAAAACAAAATAGGCTTTGTCTTGCGTTTTAGCTAAAATAGCTATGGGATGTTGCAATTGGGAAGACAAAGGAAAGAGGGAATGAAAAACACACACACTTGCACATTCAGACAGAAATCATGCTGGGTGGACACTATTCAAAGCTCAAATGGTTCATAGAAATGAAGTAAACGGACTTGAAAATTAAAGTGCACACGCCATGTGTGGTATGAAATGATTAGAAAGGAAAATGCTTATTTTTAGGTTTTTATTTAATGTGGAGCAAAAAGATGTTGATCTTCTTTTACTGCCTTTTTAAGCCTACAAAGAGTGAGCCCTGTTTTCCCAGGCAGGGTGTTATTCTGCAGGTAAATATTTCAATCTGTTTTAGGACATACCCCATGCTCCTGGGAGTCGACTTAACTTATCAGTAAGTCTGCACTGTCACTACCCATCTCTCAAAGTCTCAATTTATAAGTGGTTCTTGCACAGTAATGTTCAGTTACTGTCACACCTCCCACGTAGACAATCCCCTGGTCCACTCAGGTTTCCTTCCAATTCTGTGCTGGGTCGCCATCGTTGACTTTCACAGCCATAGAGAAGAATGAGGGGGGGGGGAAGCTAATTTTTTTTATTAGCAATTTTCTTATGGGAACCCCACATACTCTAAATGTCTAGAATCAATTTTTATAGCTGGAGGAAAGCTTAGATATTGCCTGGTTCTACCTTTGTATTTAAGGGGCTGGAAAACTGATGTTCAGATCAATGACCTACTAAAGGTCTTGCAACTACTTAAAGAACTCTGTTTCTTTGTTTTGAATTCTCCAAATGTATTTTAGCCACTCATAGAAAAAGTTGGTTTGGGTACCTTATAAAAGGCCCTCACAGTCTGGCTTGCTATGATCTTACCTTCTTCACTTGAGTCACTACAGCCACACTGGGCTCTCAGTCTGCTTCAGGTGTGATGTGTCTCAGAAGGATGTAACCAAATGTGTAAGTCTCTGGGCTTGCTTGGTGAGGTCTTTCCTGGACCCTGTTGAAAATGTCACTTCCCACTCCACAACCTCTACTCCTGAGCCCTTTCCCTTGCTTTGTATTTTCTTTTTGTCACTTATCGCAAACATACTGTATTTACATTGCAGATTTTCTGTCTTCCCCACTGGAATTTAATTTCCACAAGGGGAATTTTTGTTTCTTTTGTTCATCTGTACAATTCCAGAACATAAAACACTGCCTCTCCAGACTTTTATCAAAAGATAACAAGTGCTGGCGAGGATGCGGAGAAGAGAGAAGTTTTGCATGCTGTTGGTGGGAATGAAAATTAGTATAGGCATTATGAAAAACAGTGTGGAGGTTCCTCGAAATTTAAAAAATAGCAATACCACTAACAGGTATATATCCTAAGGAAATGAAATATGTGCATTATCATGTTCCTTGCAACATTAATCACAACAGCCAAGGCAGGGAATTACCCTATGTTTTCAATGACAGATAGATGAATAAAAAAATAGTGTGTACGTGATGGAATACTGTTTAACCTTAGAAAAGGATTCTTTCAATTTTGACAACATCAATGAACTAGGACATTATATAAAGTGAAACAATGACAAATGCCACGTGATATAATTTATGTGTGCAATCTGGAGAGTTAACATCAGAGAAGCAAAGAGTAGAATACTGGGGTAAGGTCTAAGGACACAAAATTTTAGTTATAAGACATAAGTTCAAGAGATCTGTTGCACAACATGGTGACTGTAGTTAATATCAATAATCATGTGCTTGAAAATTGATAGAGTAGCTTTTAAGTGTTCTTTCCACAAGAAAGGATAAGTGTATGAAGCAATGCATATATTAATTAGCTCAATTTTGCCATTCCACAGTTTTACATATTTAAAAACATGTTGTACACAATAAATATATATCATTATCAATTAAAATAGGAATTAAATTTTAAAATGTGAAAGTACTTCTAACATTGAAATGCTCTATGAATAATTTTTTTGTAAGCTGTCTTAATCAGTTTATACTGCTGCAACAGAATAGCATAAACTGAGTATCTTGTCAACAACAGAAATTCTTTTTTTTTCTTACATTTCTGCAGGCTGCAAATCCAAGGTCAAGAAGCCTGCAGATTCAGTGTCTAGTGGTCCATTTTCTGATCATAGACAGCTATCTTCTACCATAACCTCTCATGGCAGAAGGTACAAACACTTTGGAGTCTCTCTAATAAGGACACCAATAATAATAATAATAATAATAATAATAATAATAATAATAATAATAATAATAATTGTTGTAGTAGTAGTAGTAGTAGTAGTAGTAGTAATGACCCAGAGGTGCCGCCTCCAACCATTACACTAGGGATTTGGTTTCAATGTATGAATTCTTAGGAGAAATAAATATTCAGTCTATGGCACAGCCCATAAAAAATTTATAAGAAAACACAAATCACTCAATAGAAAATGGACAATGGACACAAAAGACAGTTTTTTAGAAAATAAAATGTAACTGACCAGCAAATAAGTAAAATCAAAGTGTTCAACATCACTCACAATTACAGATGTGCAAATTAAAGCAATAATGTATCACTTTTCATCTACCAGATAAACATCTTAAAATTCAACAATGGTTATTGTTGACAAGAACATGAAGAAATAGGTACTCATTCTCATATATATTGAACAGATATTTACCAAGTTCTGTTCTTAAACACAAAAATGAAACTTCAAATTTAGGCAATCTTTCAGGAGAGCAATTTATAAATATCTAATAACATTTAAAGTTCACACATATCAATAATATTTTTTGATTATGAATGAAAACTAGTTTTCTAAATTTGTTGATGAATAATTGATGTTGTATCAGAATTAGCCCATTATAAAAATTGTGAAATTTACTAGATTTCTGATATGATTATTTTTTATGTGTTTTTCTCTCATTACTGGATAAAAGCCAGTGAGGAGAACTTTTCCCACTTGCTCTTTGAAGACATAAATTTTAAAAAGAAAAGAGTAAAGAATGTATAGTATGGTAAAGTAATACCCAACAGCAAAAACATTTCTTGGCCAAAAATGCATCCATGTGAATGGATAAAGAAAATATAGTGTATATATACAGAACAGAATATTACTCAACCATAAAAAGGATGACTTTATGACTTTTGTTGGTAAATGGATGGATCTGGAGAATCTTATGTTAAGTGAAATAAGACAATCCTAAAAACCCAAAAGTCAAATGTTCTCTTTGATATGGTTGCTCACATACAACAAGAGGGGCAGAGAATAGAAGTTTATTGGATTAGACAAAAGGTAATGAAGGGAAAGGAGTGGGATGAGAATAGGAAAGATGGTAGAATGAATCAGGCCTAACTTTCTATATTTATATATAAATCCATGACCACTGAAACTCCACATCATGTACAATGTCAAGAATGAGATCCTAATTGAATACATTATACTCTATGTCTGTGTAATATGTCAAAATACACTCTGTCATGTATATCTAAAAACAAATAAAAAAATTTTTAAAACAAAAATGCATCCATGAAAGTCAATGTGAATGCAGGCATGTCACTCCAACACAAAAATGCACACATGTGCACATACATTGAAGCATCTTCCAAAACAGTGTAGTCAGTTCCTGAGTAGTGAGAACTTTGAGTCCATTTAGGACTGTGGCAGGTGGAGGCATTCCTGTGAATAATGGAAGAGCCTCTGGGAAATAAACAGTGGCTCTCTGTTCAACTGCTTAGAAGCATCCGAAGCTCAGAAGCAGCTTTGTTCACATTCCTCCTTTTTCCTTGCCCAACATTCTGTCCATCAAAGCAGATGAGTTCCATCCATTGGCTCAGTCCATTTTCTTCCTTCATTTGCTTCTGATGGTGCCTTTTAGGAGTAACTGTGAGAAACAAAGCAGGATAATCCAATGTCTGTGAAAAAACATTTGGGAGAGTTAATTAACAAGGAGAGAACTCAATACAGCCATATCAGGAAGAAAGCAAATTTTCTTGTACCTATTTTCTGACACATTGACAAACCAGGTACTCATTTCCTAAATTTATTTCCTAGGGATACCATAACAAATTACCATGAACTGGGATTCTTATAAACCATAGGAATTTATTTTTCACCATTCTGGAGCTTAA